GGCTACTGCAAACATTCTACGTTCTGTTTTACAATGTACATCCCTTTTTCCCATTATAAAAACAATCAGAGCATAATAACAAGAAATATAACATGTTTATAGACAAAAAAGAATATCCATATCCATAGAGGATGCTCACACTAAGTAAGATTGTCCTTATTTCCAAATTTGTGCAGATGATGATAGCAGTTTACATTCATTATTCATCCTGTTTGCAAAATATATTAAGGGTTGTCATCAGGTTGCTCTTTTATTGATCAATACCTTACTTTTCTTTACTGCCCAATAGTAGATGCTCTCTGGACAGTTCACAACATTTGTGAAAATACAACATGATAAAATACAACATAAAAGTTAATTTAGGCAGTGCCCTGTAGAGCAGTTGTTCCTTTTTTACCAGTCTGGCCCACCTCCTCTGTAGCCTGGCAAAATTACTCAACAATAACCCATGGTTGAAAGTTTGCATATCAGAATAACTCATTGTTTAAGTAACCCAGAATTCACAACTAATGTGTTGTTTGTGGTTAATAAACTATGGTTTGTGTGCCTGCATTTACACATCACAGCAGCCCAGAAATCAGCAATCTATACCATAAAGGTAAAGGTAAAGTTTTCCCCTTGACATTGTAGTCCAGTCATGCCTGACTCTAGGGTACAGTGCTCATCTCCATTTCCTAGCCAAGGGAGCCAGCATTTATCCATAGACAGTCTCCGTGGTCATGTGGCCGACATGACTAAACTCCAAAGTGCACGGAATACTGTTACCTTCCCACCGAAGTGGTACCTTTTTATCTACTTGCATTTGCATGCTTTCGAACTGCAAGGTTGGCAGGAGCTGGGACGGAGCGACGGGAACTCACCCCGTTTTGCAGATTCAAATCGGTGACCTTTCTATCAACCAGCCCAGCAGCACAGCAGTTTAAACCACTGCGCCACCTGCATCCCTAATCTATACCATGGGTCAGAGTTATTCATGAACTGGGTCATTGTGTTCATCCTCACAAATCATCTGCTTCCATGATATGGCCAATGCTGAAACTTCACCTGTGTTCATGTCAGAAGAGGATGAAAAGGCAACCTGTACAGGCTGTGTTTTTCATGTACCCCTAGATGTGGAATTATCAGTGTTTTCTCATGTTTAATAACACTGAGGAAATAAACAAGGATGAGAAATGCCCGCCCACTCCATGCATCCTTTCAATAACTGTTAGGGACATTTATATCACATTCACTTTTAAAGATGCAGTTCTGGGTGGAAGTGTAATACTAGGACAAATGAGAACATGGTATGCAGTAGCTTTGTTCAGCCAAACCTCAACAGCTTATTAATCCAAAGGTGTCAGCTGCATCACTACTCAGTAATTTTCATAACACTACCTGTGCAGCTGAAATAAATGTATGCTAATTGTGTGTGACTTTGGGAAAGTAACCCTGTTTGGCTGCAACACTTATTCCAAGGGTGGTGGTTGGAAGGCAGAGCTGCTTTGGCACAGAACAAGTGCAGGTTTCACTTTAGCTCTGCAGGCAGTAATCAGGTTAGGCATTTGGGAGTCAGACCAATTTGCCTGAACTTTTTAGTTCATGACAGGTGTGGAAGTACTTCAAGTCAGGGTGTCTTATTAGCTTTTCCACACCTTGGCAAATAAAAGCAAATCTGGTAAAGAGGGCTTTGTTCAGCCAAATGAGACCTTGTTTAAAATACTGTCAACAAATCTAACAGGCAGCCCTGTAAAAGGCATGGTATTGTTGAGACGAGGTGCTCTAAATGTTTCTTATGGATCCTCATTTGCTTAATGCAAATCAAGCCGTTGCCTGAGCAGTAACAGAACATATTTATCATTGTCAAGTAGTGAGTATTGCCCATGTTTAAAGAACAAAATTGCTGCTGCTGCTGCAGGATGATACACAGGGACAGTAGAACGAAACCCTTTTTTCAGCCTCTTCTTGACATGCAGGTATTTCCAAAATCATGTAAACTGCAGAGCCTATCAGCCAAGGACACCTGCTGCTCAAATTTTCAAAATCATGGAAAGCTGAGCGTGTGCTTCGACTCTAATTCTCCCTTTAAGGCTTTGTTTGCCCCAGAATGTTTTTCAGATGACTTAGCACTTCAAAGCAGCTTCATTTGTAAATGTAATTAATACTGTTGATTTATGTATTTGTGTATTCTACCAGTTTCTTCTTTCACATTGTCACAGTAAAAGCTGCCATTGACCTTGTATTCATTTAAGAGGTCAGTGACTATTTGTAAACTTACAGGGAAATGTAAAAATATTTAAATGAAGCATCGTTTCAGAGAAGTTTAAGCCATAAAAATAAGGAGAACATTGCTGAGTGCACATTTGTACTCTGTCCCCCTCAGCTGATGGACTGCATAACACTACTCAAAGGATAGCAGTCTGAAGCACCTTTCTGCACATATTTACTCAGAAGTAATCCCTACTGCATGCACGTAATGGACCTTTCTCCCTAATACATCATAAGGACCGTAGGAAGTTGCTTTATACAGAGTCAGACCACCTTGCCTGACAGGTGTTCTTCGGGTTCAGGCAGGATTTTTCCCTTCAGATTTTTCATCTGAAGATGCCGCGGTTGAAGCCAGGACCATCTGCATGTTAAGCATGAGCTCTGCCATTGAGCACATGGTCCAATGTAGTCCAATATGTTTGGAGCACCCACCATCCTCATCCAATAAGGCCAATGCAAGCGTGTGTGTTTCCATTTCCGAGAGTGCCCCTTCAAATGGGATATTTTGTGGAAAAATACATTGTCCTCCAGCCAATCAGAGCAATGCAGGTATGCCAGGTTTCCCACCACTGGAAAAAGGGGAGCCCTCTTCAATTATGGGGCCATAAATTTGGGAAGCATTACTCCCCCACCCTATTGTGATCTCCATTAAGCACAGAATGCAGTCATAAGGTGATGTAAATTCCAAAACTCAGCTATGTTTAAAGTTAATCATATCACAGTCCATAGTAGGTTGGTGTGGCATGTTGTGATTATGAATGGATTTGCACATTTAAAGTATGATTTCAGTTATTTCAGTGAGGCACACATTAGTCATGACTAAGTCTGGATCCAGACTAAGGACTCATGTCTACAGTGCATAGAATGCTTCTGATCAGGTGTATTAGCTAGTCATTTATTGGTCACTATCCTTAATGTTTGTCAAAAATAAAAACCCCTAAACAAAACAAAATGCATCTAATGGAACAGCTCTATCAGAAGGTGATTTAAAAGCAGACAATCCCTTGCCCACCCAAAAATGCATCCAATGTTGCAGTAGTTTCATATTGCAAGGTTTCTCATGGGGGATTTGCAAAAGATTTTTCTGAATTTTGCAAAGGTTTTAGGAAAGGTATTAAAGCACCTGTCATATAGTGGAGGCTTTCCTATAGTGGAAATGAACAAGGAAAAATAGAAGGAAAATAAATTACTTTGTGACTCGTGAACAAACACAAATGTGTGATAGATGAGCATCTCTGTATAAGGGCAACTTGTGACCCTCTGGACATTTTCCCCTATAGCTCCTATCACCCACAGCCAGTATAGTCAATGGTGAGGAATGATGGTAGTTGTAGGTCAAAGCATATGCTGCCTGCTGCTGGTACAAGAACAATATGTTGTGTTTATTAATTGTTGTTCACTGCTCAGAGAGGATCAGGTATTGGGCAGTATAGAAATAAAATAAATGACATGAGGTAGAGAACACATTCCATTCTAACTGCTGAACTGATCCTCTTCAGAACTAATTGGTAGAAATGGGACTGTACTATTTTAAGATGTAGGGTTTCACTAAATAATGAAAATTGATTGGTTACATCCAATGGTGACCTTGCCTTGGATTAACGCACTTACATCCATGCAATTTGGAGCGCTAAATTTTGGTTCATTCTCCCAGCCCATTTAAGCCTTGTCTCCCCATTCCCAAAAGTAGCTCCAGATTTTGAGACATTGTCCAAAACTGAGGGGAATATAGCACAAGAGGCTGCAATAAACAAGGGAACAGTGTTGGCAAAAACTAGTTGCCCCAACTTCCTTTAAGGCAGTGGTTACAATAATAAGTTAAGTACTCTTCACCATTTTTACTGCCGTAAAAGGCCAGATACTGAAGATGAAACTCAAATACTTTGGCCACCTAATGAGAAGGAAGGACTCCCTGGAGAAGAGCCTAATGCTGGGAACAATAGATGGCAAAAGAAGGAGGGGACGGCAGAGGATGAGGTGGCTGGATGGAGTCACTGAAGCAGTTGGTGTGTGCTTGGGTGGACTCCGGGAGATGGTGGAGGACAGGAAGGCCTGGAGAAATGTTGTCCATGGGGTTGCGATGGGTCAGACATGACTTCGTGACTAACAACAACAGCCATTTTTACTGTGTACTTGCATTCAGACACACAGTGTCGACTTGAATGCTACAACAGAGGCTATGTGGATTTTTCATGCTTGATTAGCTAGCATACACAAAAAATCCTTCTTATTTCAAAGTATTTGTTGCAAAAACCTAGAACGAAACATTTCCCTAAACGGCTTGGGACCAGGAACCTGAAGGAACGTCTCCTTCCTTATACGCCCTCATGCCCCTTAAGATCTGCGGGAGAAGCCCTGCTCCGGGAACCCTCTCTAAGAGAGGTAAAAAGGTCATCAACTCAGAGAAGGGCCTACTCTGCTGTGGTGCCCAGACTCTGGAATGTACTTCCCAGAGAGGTACGTCTGGTGCTGAGCTTATACTCTTTTCGGCGCCAGGTCAACCTTTTTATTTAAACAGTATTTTAAAATCAACAACTTTTAACATTTAGTAGCTCTTGTTTTGTTTTGTGATTTACTGTTTTGTTTTATATATTATTCTGTTTCAATTTATTTATTAGAAATTGTTGTTGTTTTAATTGTTGTTTTAAACATTGTAAGCCATCCTGAGATTTTTATATAATAGGATGGCATATAAAAGCCTTTAACAAATAAATAAATAATAAATAAATTTCACTTCTGTTTTTCAATTGCAGCTGACCGCCATGGATGCAGATGAGGGTCCAAATGGACAGATCGTATATGAAATCCTGGCTGGGGATCAGGGAGACTTCATAATCAATGAACAGACAGGCCTTATCACCATTGCAACAGGAATTGTATTGTCAGTAGGACGTTCCTATGCCCTCACTGTCAAAGCATCTGACAGTGCTCCACTTGCACAGAGGAGGTAATTAATATTATAATTAAATTGTTTGCTTTAGTTTGCGTATAGCTGAGAAATTAACCTTTCCACACTTCAAACCAAAGAAGGATTACAAGTATCAGAGTAATGAGACATCAGTGATTTGGAATTGTTTTTTAAGAGGCACTTCAGCTGATCCTTTGCAAAGTTTCATACTTGAAAGGAACCGTACAGCCCAATCTTATACCTGTAGATGTAGAAATAAGTCCCACTGAGTTCAGTGGGAGCTTCTCCCAGGTAAGTGTGGGTAGGACTGCAATCCTAATAATGATATTGCCATGACTAGAAAAAGTATATATTCTGCACCGAGTTGTTTGTATGCAGTATGTTCAATGCAGCAAATAGATTGTCTTGGTTTTTTCAAAAACGGTAAATGGTTCCAAGCTAAGCCTCCTATCACCTGTATTTATTAGTTTCAGTGTTTGTTTAAAGAGACTGAGAATAAGAGACAGGAAGAGGAAAAAAATGGAGCAAAAGTAGCCACTTGTTCTGTAAATTGCCAACTATCATGTAAGGGTGATATCTCCAAATACACTGGAAGTAAAAGGATCTCTAAGCTGGAGGTAACCTTTTATCCAGATGGTACAATCTCATAGTGTGCCTTAGCTCAATTTGGAGCACAAATTGTAAGCTGTGCAAACATTGGACAAGCAATGAAATACACCCCATGGAAACTTACATTTGCTTCAGCAAAGCCATTCAATTTCTAATCTCCACTTGTTAGATCCTTGTAATCTCCACTTGTTAGGAGCAAACAATAAAGTTTTTCTCAATCCTGCCTGCAGAGACAAATAAAATAAACGAGGGCTGGTTTGTTAGCTCACAGAATACTTCAGATTAAAACAGAAAGGCTGGGGTACCTTAGTCCTTGCTGGCCTGTTGTAGTTTGCAGTGGGGTAGTTTTCCAGAAGTGCACATCTCCATAACTCAGGAAGGAGCAGGGGGGACAGGGCAGTGGCCATGCTATCATGCATATTTCAATAGAGACAAATCCAGATTAATCCAAAATTCATTGAAACCCACACATGTCCTTGTTTGTAAGAGAACAGTATTCTGGTATGCTGATGCAAATATGAATCAAGTTGGCTAGAACATATATGAATTGGGCCACACTCTAGCACAACAAGGATGGGGAAAAGTATATATTTAGTTCCCAGTTAAGTTTTTGGAAACCTTCAGCACTAAAATGACTGAATGTGAAATTTCCAATGAATTATAAGCAACAATTAAAAATAGAATAAAATAGAATAGAAACAGCCATACCAAATAGGTATCATGGAATTTGCCCATACCTGTTTGAGTGATATCTCTTCCCTTTCACCTAGCTATGTGGTGAAAGAGAGAGAGGACAAGCTCTTCTGCCTGGAGTGTTATATTTTAAGTGTGGGGAGAGAGGAGGGAAACAAACACGCCCAAGATTCAAACCTCATTTAATTATGCATTGGGAGTGAGAAATGGGGAGCTATCCAAATAGCCCCCTGTTTATTGTGGGCAAAACTGGGATGTCCAAACTCTATTTCCTATACAGTGTGTGTCTCTCTGTGTGTGTACTGTTGTGACTGTTAGCCCTCCATGTGAGTGGCCATTCTTCTCAGGCCCACACCCAATGCTTCCACATTCAATGAACCATTGGAAAGGAAAGCCCAAGTACTCTTGACCAAATTGCGATCCTTGAGTGTGTATGTTTCTCCCTCAGGCTTTCCTTTTTGATGCTCAGCTGCATATGTGGACCATGTGTGTGAATGCCGGGAGAGGATTGGAAAGTGTGGCTCCACATCCCTTTCCAAATATATGCTGTTTATGCAGAAAGCTATTGACTGAACAGTCCTACTGCTACATGTAAATGTGAAGAAATTTCATTCATCCTTGGAAAATCATATTATATTGACCTAGAACCCACAGGAATTTAATTTCAATTCTTATCTTGCTTTTGCTGTCACTGTTGTTTAGTATAATTAAGCATTGTCTTCATGCATCTTTGTTAATTCAAGGACTAGGACTATAAATGATAGCCAATATTCTTGGTTTTATAAAATGAACACACAGATACTACAAATACTAGAAGTTCTATCTACGTTTTTCTTAATTCTATTTAAGAGACAAATATGAATATCCAGCCCAGTGCTTCAAGGCCTTGTTGTCACCCAAGCCATTCTTTTTTAGCCTTAAAAAAATCTATAGTTTTTGTTCTTAAAAACTGCATTTCCAAGTTGTTCTGATAAAAGCAATGCTCTCTTTCCCTCTCTGCCTCCTGCGGCCTTCACAATTTGTGTGACCCATGGAGTAATCACTCAGTGAACAACTATTTTAGGTTGTCTAAAACTGAGCTAAACTGGAAATGTTGCATTCACCTCCTACAGACCAATCCAAGATGGATGGATGACATCAACAAAACTGCTCTGCTGTTCAAAGACTGCGCTGAGCTCAACCCTATTTTGTACATTCCACATACATGCCTTCATTCTTGATTCACATCCCAGTGGAAGACTTAGGGCTCTTGCTGCTGTTTCTTTTATTACTGAAACATGGACCTTGCTAAGTTCCATGCCAATGTGACTGTACAATGGAGGTATCTTTTGATCCCCTGGCAATGTATCCCCTAGGAACTCATTTGGTAGATTAATTGCTTCCAGAGTAAAACTGGCATGGCCCTGATACACCCATAACCATTTTAACAGAGCATAAATAGAATGTCCAATGAGATTGCCAGAATTCCTTAGAGAGTTTTTAACCCCTTCTTATTTTTTGGATAAAATCTGACTTAGCTGTCAGAGCTCTAGGTTTACTGTTATGACTACATCCTCACCAGTAGTTGCAATTCTCTGAGTGGCCAAAACACAACATCAGTTCATATAAGAACTACTTGCCTAAGTTTATTTATCAGACTGGGTTACCCAGTTGAATTGCTTTCCCAGTTCCACAATGCAAAGGACAAATGCATTAATTTTGGATTTGGAAAGAAGCTTAGCAGAATTCTTTCTGATCAGGTTTATTTAACCAAGATATTAGGTTTGTTGACATCCACAAAGTTAGGGCACTCCAGTTCAATAAATAAAAGTGCTGTTTCTTACGTAGATATGGATGGTACAAGATGGAAAGTTTTCTAGCTACTGTGGGGGTTCATTCCATGTAGTGGGGTATAGGAATGCAGTCTTGGTTTCTAAAAACTCAGAATAAGTACCAGTAATTCAGTTAGAAATTAAAACATGTGTCTCTTTGCTTGGCAGAAGGCTACAGTGCTTGCTAAGTGAAGGCTCTTATAACCTGCCTTGACACTTGACACTACTTGGGAAAGTATGAATTGATCTTGACTGGATTATATTTGTTTTTTGTGATTGCAGGAGCTCCATCACAACTGTTTACATTGAGGTCCTTCCTCCAAACAATCAAAGCCCACCCCGCTTTCCTCAGCAGATGTACAGCCTTGAACTCAGTGAGGCCATGAGAATTGGTGCCATTTTGCTTAATTTGCAGGTACAGAATGCTTCAATGTAAGCATTTACAGAGCTTTTTCTGCTTATGTGATGATTTTGATTCTTAGCTCTTTTTAATATTGCACAGAAGTTTCTCTGTATCATGGGTTTTTGAACTTTCTGCAATTATTGAACCCCTTGAAAATCATTTGATCGTGTGCTGTGGAACCCTAAGTTATGGCCACAGAAAATCTGTACATTTCAGATGATTCTGAGCAGGTGCACCCTTATTTCAACTGAAATGCTAGTTGATGTGGACTTCACTTCTTGCCTCATATGGACTTGAGAACATACATGACACTTCTGCTATTGCAGGAGGCAGTAAGGGAAAAATATATGGCCTTTTCAGGGGTAACTTGCTCATAATTGTTCTCACGTTCTCTCTGAGCAACTGCAGCTCTCCTGTGATTTTAAAAGCAGCCTCCTATGGATAACTTCTCTTGCTAAAAATACTTCTCATTTCCATGGGATCCATTTTACCTGTGCATTTTCATAGCTGTGTGAAGGCTGTATGCTAGGGCCAGAAAATATGCTGGCAATTTTATCTTGCACTTACCCAGAGCATGAAAAGCAGCCATCTGTAAGGTGGATGGATAACTAGCTGGTATGGTTAGAATGCCAGGACCAGGACTGTGCTGCAGGTTCTGCCGTGGGTTCAGAGAGGCCAAAGCAAGAGGCACATTTGTTTAAGTGTCCAGGATCAAAGCTAGGGAGTCGACGATCCACGCAAGCGCAGTCCAAGTTATCACAATCCAAAGGCACTGTGCAAAGGTCAGGTTCCGGAAAGACAGTCACATCCAGAGCAAGGTAAGGTCAGGGAGAATAGGTGCAGGTACCTGCGAGTCAGGGTCAGACTGGAAACAAGGGTGGAAGCGGGAATAGACTGGGGCAGGCAGGCTCAGGTGAGGCAATGCAAACTGCTAGAGCGTGAGGGAGTCACCAGGACAGCTCATGTCGCAGTGGCAAAGAGCAGCACTGCAGTGCAGCCTCTTATGCTGGTCTCCCGGACCTCCAGCTGCACTGCATAATTGCTCCTGCAAGTGCTTGCAAAGATGTCCCAGCTCTGCAGGCACTTTTAGGGCCATTTAGGCCCTGATTCTGACACTGTCTGGATGGACCTTAGGCTATATGTTTGATACAGAGAGCTTACTGTTTGCTTTCTTTTCACTGTCTGTCTTTCTCATTGACTACTTACTCACTAGCACATATGGTTTATGATGAACCAGTTGTAGTCAAAATAAGTTATATTAAACTGAGCAAGAAGATTTTATTTATTTATTTGGGATATTTCTAACCCATCCAATCACTATGGGTCTCTGGATGGGAAGATGGGAAGAACAGGTTTAGCTGGCAAAATATAGAGAGAAGTGGGCAATTCTAAGCTTAACAATAGGAATAACAGTACAGAAGCCTAAATATGAGTGTTTGATCCAGCTCCAAGAAGGTTAAAATATATCAGTATCACATGACAATCATTTAATTACTGAGATCTGCCTTCCACATTAAACTAAGACTTGCAACATCTTATTATTTTGTAGAAAGATTTGAAACTTATGATGTCCTTGGAAGTTTGGAAAAATAGTGCTCTGTTTTACCTATTTTCCATATGAAACTGTAATTGATGTATTTGAATTATGTTCACAAACACTTGGATTAGCCAAAATTATGCACTTTGGAGTCCCACTGATTTCAAAGAAAATCTTGGAGCAATCCTTTACCTATTGAATACAGTGGAATTAACTTCTGGGTGGACAAGTATAGGATTAGGCTGAAAGTATGTGCTAATGAGACTTCGGTGTGCTGAACTATGGCTGCATTGAACACTATATTTTTAAGCCAAGTAAAATAGTTTTCATATGTTTATTCTGTAAGCTGTACAAATTGCATGTTCTTGTTTAACGGCATTGTCTAATAACTTTTATGCTCTTTTCAAACAGATAGCTGTCCAGTATGGTCTTTATATTGCATATTTTAAGCAGCAACCAAATGAATACAAGGTTTAAACAGAGTTATCATGTTTAGCAATTCACCAATAAATAATCCCTACTGATTAATTTTGAAAATAAGCTGGGGACTTTACTGCCTACCAAAAGCCTCTTTATTCCCTCTTCTTCTGTCAGTCATTGTTGATTAAAGCTTAAGTATGCAAATATTCAAATTTTCTGAAATTCCAGTAAGCAATTATCATGCTAATGAAAACACACTCTTTATGCTGCCAAAGTAGAGGCACTCTCTGGAGGGGACAAAACACATACAATCAGTTGATCTAGAGTTGAATCTGTCAAATATGTAATTGTTATAAATGTTTTAATTAGTGTTTTAATGTGCTGTCCATCATGACTGAGCCTGATCCCCCTCAAACAAAACAAAGCACTGATTAAAACAAACTATGACCTGTAACATGTCGCTTGTTTGTGTTGTTCTGAAGGCAACAGATCGAGAGGGTGACCCGATAACATACCTTATACAGAATGGAGATCCCCAACGAGTTTTTAACCTTTCTCGAACGTAAGTGGATAATCCTTAAAGCTGATATTATAATTTCATGTTTCACCTTTCTTGAGTGTAAATGGAATGTTGCCTAGGATTTTGCACTTTTATGGGTGCCTGCTCAGAAGTAAGTCTCTCTGAATTCAGTGGGGCTTAGACCCAGGTATGTGGTTACAGGGTTGCAGCCTGAATTTTCCATTTCCCAAACCAATTGTATGCATACGCTGTGTGCAAATAAATCATCTTCTAAATCCAAGGTGCTCAGCTGTTTGAAGGTGAGCTTTCATGCACTAAAGGTAGCTCCATGAATGCTACTGAACTTTGAAATTACACACCCGAGATCATTTATTTATTTTAAATGTTTGACTAGGTAAAGCCCACTGAGATGGAAACTTCTATTATACTAGTGACCTGGGATTAATTAGAAGCCTTTAGACTTGCCAGGTTTCTGCTAATGACAGTGACTTTTTAAAAACTTACAATTTCTTGTCTTGAAACTGAAATGTGCTTTAATGAAAAGGAAGACCTTTTGGGGCCATTGTTTGAATTCAGTGTCAGACATTCCAGGCATTACTAACTGAAAAAGCTTTTAGCTTTTCTCCTAAATTGATGCCACCTTAATTAGTGTAAAGAAAAACCATGGAACACTGAAAGCACATGTTCCAGATACAGTGAAAACCTTCTTTCCTTTAAGAACTTGTCATTTGCAAAGCTATTATTTGCCTGAATATTAATTATAATAAAGAGGAAAGGAATGATACATTGAGGGGCCTTTTTGGAAATTAGGGAAAGAGTAAGAAGTAGAAGCTTATCATTATGTTCTCAGAGCTCAAGAGTTTAGCTAAGCAAAAAGTAAAATTAAAAAGGGGTTTTGAATACCACTGTGAATACTGGTATAAGCAGAATAGATGCTAAAAACTGAAGATGTGATGGTAATCTTGTAGTTTTTCCCAGATCTAATACTGAAATGCTGCTGATTTTCCTGAAGATTATATTTCTTCTGACCTAAAAATATTCTGACCATTTACTTCCTGTTAGATTAAAAAAAACTTTGTAAACTCTTGCACACTGTATCTGGAGGTTTAAGAACAGGTGTGCACTTCCTATTCAAAGTCAAGAGCAGCATCTGTTTTTGGATAAATATCTGGATCTGTTACATAGCGAATAGCCTATGAATTTAGAGGTATAATCCCCTTAGAGGTAGTAGACACCTATATTTCAGTACCTATTTAATTAATTCCTGCAGTCCGTAAAAGCAAGGAAAGCAAGATATTCTTTATGTTTGTGCAGATAGCGAGTCAAAGAAATCTTCAGAAATGTATGGAAGCTATAATGGAACAATATCAAACACACCTATTATGCATTTCATGGACCGTTTTTCCCAGCTAAGCTGTGTGGAAACAGAATTACACTATTTCTGATGTCAGCCACGATGGCCACAGTGAGACAACTGTCATATAGATTAATTATTTCAATGATTCATACCTAGTAGCAAACAGATGTAAAACATAAGCACAAAAATGTTGCATCTACATTACAGAATGTAATGGAAAGATAATCTCTTCATAATGTGAAGCAGAGGAGTTCAGAAATAAGCCAGTGGAAGTTTGACAGGATCTAATGCAATGGAACTGTCAGGAGATTCAGACCATGTTGTAGCAGGCTACACGGCTGTGGGAACTGGGCCTGCTTTTCCCAGTGTACAGCATTCCAAGGTGATTGAGGAAGTATTGCTCAAGTCAAGAAGCTGGATCCAAACTCAGTTCCTTTCCTCCCTTTCTAGCCAAACAAGGCCATGCCATCCTAAGGGAAGTTCCTACTGGTTGTGGGTAGGAAGTTGACTAACAATTGGTCCCCTTACTTGAGTCACCGTTGAAAGACTGGACTTATTAAATTTCCCCCCTGTTCAAGAGTGGTCTGGTTCTCACCAACTGCTTGGTGATCTTATAGGTCTTGATATTTCAGCAAAGAATTTCAACACCTCCTCTCCTTCCAATTCAGACTCAAAATATTGTACTAGATAGAATGTTGCTCAGATCCCTCAGTCCTTCCTTCATCCTCTTAAAGAATCAATTGCAGCTTCTTATTTATTTATTATATTTCTATACTACTCAACAGTCAAAGGTCTCTGCTCAGTTCTGTTTTTATGTTAATTCCCAATTTCTTCAGCAGAACAAGGCTGTGAAATGGAAATACGGAAACCGAGAAATTGAAAGTGTATATAGCTCCACATGGAAATGTTTGCTAACCAGTCATAGAATTGCTTTAGCTGCACAGAAAGAGAGAATGTCATATTTATTGTGTGTGATGAACCCTTTGCCTGAACAGTTGGTCATGAATTCAGATTGCTTCTGTGCCTTGTTGTATGCATAAACCACACTTGTTACACTGCTCATTCGGCCAAAGTAGATAATCTGTTTTTTAAAAGTGCGCATTTTATCCACAGTGGTGTAATAAAGACATCCCTGCCTGCATCAGCAGACTTTAATGGAGATGTGGGGAAACATACTTGCCTTGTAACTTTCTCTAAGAGAGTAATTTTAGTCTATTCCCACTGCTTACTTTTTATGCTTTTTATGTGCAAACAAAATAGAAAATAGTTGTCTAAAATTCTCATCACAACCTATATGTTGCCTTTCTTTTCAAAATCATTGCTTTTTGCTTTGCTTCTGAACAGAACTCCTTTGTAGTAGTTAAAATGACATGCTTTTTGGTGACAAACACAGTAGGTGGTTTGTAAAGTGTCAGTAAGAAATATTGGAAATAGGTTGGGTCTGCTGATGAACTCAGAAAAGCAAGAGTTCCTTCCACACTAAACCATCACTTCTGTGGTAAACTGGCTGGTGAACTCGCGAAGAGGTGGAAGTGCTTCTATTCCAGCAGAGGTGTCCTGCCAGCAGAACAACTGTTTTTGGAGGTTCCCCAGCACACCAGTGCAAAGTTGTGCCGTGTGATGTTCTGCCAATAGATTGGGGGAAATGGCATGTTGGGCTTGTCGGCAACAGAAGTGAAGACTCCAAGTCCAAATCCCTTCATTTCAGCAGTTCTCCTTGCCAGGCCTCCTGCATCTGGTGTACTTAATTTTCTCCCATTATCCATAAAGAAAAACTGCCTTCTGGGCTGTCCACAGCAAAACATCAGGGTACGTAGAAGCTGACCTAGTAAATTTCCTTCCTCCACCTGCTGGAAATGAAGTGTGGAATTGCTCTGCCTATTGCAGTCATCTGTACACTTTCTTGGGAGTAAGCCCAAGTAAAATAGTAGGACCCGTTTTTGAGCAAACATACATAGTATTGCACTACTTCTAGATGCAGAACGTGCAGTGTCTAAAGCTTACAGCGTCTCTCTAAGCGTATTTACTCAGTAGTCCTACTGAGTTTAATGGCACCGGGTTCCCCTGGTAAGTGTGCAACATTCCCGCTCAGTGTACAACTGAACTCTGCATTTCCATTTTTTTCCCATGGGACAGGCCTGACTGTTAGCTTGCTTACCTAAGCAATGTGGCATAGAAGAATGTTGATACAAGTGACAGTGTCAGCTTTTGTGAGCAGCAGTTCAACTCTGAACTCTGTTCAGATCTGTCTAACTCTTCCAGCAGTCATTGTGACCAAGAAACAGAACCCAGAAAAGGACAGGCTTGAATCTCAGCGGCTGACACTGGAAATTATGGGACAAAGCAAATGGGGTGCAAGCTAGACAAAAATTGAGATACATAAAATTGGTTAGAGATATTCCCCTTCTTGTCCCTTTATTTATTTAAGGGGAAACCCCTGATTTTCAATATGAAAGAATCCCAAAGGGAATATAAAATCTGCAAAGTGAAATAATAGAAATGTTGACTGATAAAGCAGGAAAATAGGAAAGAGAAGAAACAAGCAAACATTTACAAGATGTAACAGTACAGTTTCAGTCAATAGTCTGGGGTAGTAAGTCTTTAGTTGTACTTTAAGCTTTTGAAACACAGTGTTGATATTGATGATGAAAAGGGCTTCTTCAATCACACTGCATACCCTGGCACACCCAACACTATCAAGGCAGCCTCCCCAGTCTTTCTTAAGATCTAGTATCAGGTCCCAAACTTTATAGGACTGTATCGGCCCGCCAAACCACTGTAGAGATGGGCCCATTTCTCTTACAAAACAAAACAAGCAGCATTCCCAGTTAGAAAGTTCAGACTCTGCATGTGAACTAAACTGAGAATGAGAGGGATTGGAATGTGGCATAATAATGTCAAGGTTAAGGAGAATTCTCAGCTGCAGAGAACCAAACAACCTCGTGTTTGAGGGAAGACACTGTAGTATAGTCTGTGCATGTGGGGTGTGCATCATTAACCCAAAGAGCCAGTTTCAAGCTAAATGAAAGGACCAATTAAGTAATGTCGCTCAAGCTTACGAGCAGCAGAAACCTTCCTAAGGGTGGAGTCACACCTTTTGGAAAAGAAAGGAAGAAAGGTCTTTGGAATCAACTCTTCACATGGGCCAGAGCTCCTCACACAGACCGGAATGAACATTACTTTGATTGATGCTATTTGAGAATAAACTTCATATGAAACATCCTAGCTCAAATAAAGGTGTATACTTCTGAAAACCTTCTGTTGAATCTGTTGGAGAGGGAAAGAGACACACTCACAGTAAGCACCTTCAACTTGGCTGAGTAGCTAACTGTAATGCAATGCCTGAGGCTTTCCGGCAGATAAAGTGGCATCCAGCAATAGTGTCCACAGATATGAGCTACTCTGCCTCCTGCCTCCAGTTGAGTATAGATGGGCATTTCTTTCATTCTTCTGGGACTTCATTTCAGAACAAATAAAAACTGAACTGAAAGGGCCCCGTTCATTTTCCAGCTTATCATTTGTTCCAAAATGGATATGCTCATCTAGTTCAGTTGAGAACTAGATCCATGGTTGGGAAATACTCAGGGGCCGGGGGGAAGCTTATTTTCCAAGCCATTTGTGTTCCTGAGTACACATCTTTACATTCCTCTATATAATCAAATTGCTCTTATTTTATATCTTTGAAGGAAAATATAGAGGGAGATCAAAAAGATAAGCACTCTATATTGCTCCCTGTCCATCACACTAAATGGGTCATCAGCTACTTGTAGTTATAAGCATATTCAATACATATAAAACGGTTTTGAACATATAATGTTATACTGATCTTGGGATTTTGTAGTTTAGTGTAACCACTGAAACCATTCTGTTTAAGGAGTTATTTGGGCTCAGATACTTTCTTAGTGCATTTCATAATCTATTGTGGTTTGGAACAACTTTGTTGCCAGCACAAATGAACAACAGGTTTGTATTCACCTTGGTACTATCTGTCCTATGATCCCATAATATAAAATCTCCAAATCACATCTCTAATCCTAAATCATAAATATATATGCAGCTATAAAGCCTTAGAAGCAGACCTTTGTTTTTACAAACTTTGCTCAGAAAGAGAAGGAAAAACATCATTTCCAGAAGTACATTTTGAAACAAAGAAATAGTATTTTCTGAAAAGAGAAATACTCCCTGATGCTCCAGGCATTCTTCAATGAGACCAATTATCTGGATCAATTTCAGCTGGGGCTCAGGCCTGATTTTTGGCACAGAAACAGCCTTGATCACCCTGTATGATGGCCTATGCTGGGAAAGAGACCGAGCGAATATGACCCGTTGGTTCTCCTGGACCTCTTAGCAGTTTTCGATACCATCAACCACAGTATCCTTCTGGGGTGACTGTCTGAGTTGGGTGTGAGAGGCAGTGGATTGCAGTGATGCCTCTCCTACTTGGATGCTAGGCTCCAGGAGGTGGTGCTTGGGGGATGTTGCTCTGCCACCACCATCCCCCAGATCCTCCAGTGTGTGGTTCCTCAGTCTTGTCCTCCATGCTATTTCATCTGCATGAAACCACTTGGTAAGGTCATCTGGAGTTTTAGAATATGTTGCTGTTAGAATGCTGATGACACACAACAGGTGAGGCTGTGGATATGCTGAACCAGAACCTGGCTGCAACAGCAGACTAGATGAAGGCAAACTGAAGTTCAATCCAGAAGAGACTGAGATCCTGTTGGTGGATGGTTCTTCCAACTGGATGGAGAGAATTCAACCTGTTTTACATAAGGTTGGGAGTGCTTCTGGAGCCATCTTTGTCCCTTGAAGCCCAGGTGGCTTCAGTGACTCAGGATGCCTTCTACCAGCTTCAGCTAGTAGCTCAGCAATACCCTTATCTGGACAGAGATAGCCTACTATCAGTGATGAATGCTCTGGTAACCTCTAAGGCAGACTACTGCAATGTACTCTGTGTGGGGCTGCCCCTGAAGACTGTTTGGAAGCTGCAGCTTCTACAAAATGTGGCAGCCAAATTAATAACAGGGATGGGAAATTCTGACTTGCTTCCGCTGGCTGCCTATATGCTTCTGAGTCCAATTGAAGATGCTAGTTTTGACCTATAAAACCCTACATGGCTTGGAACCACGATATCTGATAGAATGCTTCCCCAGCCTCTATCTACCTGGACACTGCAATCAAGTTCTGGGGCCTTTCTCTGATTGCCACCTCTGAGGGAGACTCGGATGGTGGTGAGAAGAGACTTTTCAGTGGTGACCTCCCAGTTCTGGAATGAGCTCCCCACTGAGGCCTGCCTGCCATCAGCCTTAGTATCTTGTCCATGCCAGGTAAAGACTGCCCTCTACTGCAGGGCATTGAATTAGCTGCTGGTTGTTGGACAGAGTCTAACTGGGTATTTTTAACATATACTTTTTGATTTTTCTTTGTTTAATTTGGTCTTAAATTTTGTATTACCAACCTTTTCATGATATTTTAATATATATCAATTGGTATATTTTGTATTGTTTTTAAATATGTTGCTGTGATCCACCCAAAGAGCTTTGGCCGTTGGCCGGTATAGAAATCAATCAGTCAGTTAATTAATTAAGCAACCAATTCAATAACATACCCTAAAATTGTAAACTTTTAGAAGCCATGTTATAATGTAACATAATTTTTCGTGTTATTCTTAGATCCGGGCTGCTAGCCTTAGGAAAGCCTTTAGACAGAGAAAGCACTGATCGCTACATTTTGATTGTTACAGCCTCAGATGGCCGACCTGATGGGGTAAGTTCCTTGAAATGTAAGTGTGCATTTGTTTGAAATTGAAACAACAGGGAGGCAAAACACCTGCAATTGTGGCATATCTGGTGCAAGCTGATCACTGATCCATGCATACCTTTGCCAATTCGCCTTTATGTCACAAGGGTTCATGCAGGTGCCTTCATAGTATTACTTTGTCAGTCTAGCTCTTACACTTTTACTGGACTGATTTGTGTTCTATTGTCTGACCTCTCATTGTTCTATCATGGCCAGCACACACACTGCACACCATGATGGGTGTCTTATGGGGTTCGTCTTAGTTGTGTTGGAATGCTCTGGGAGCAGCTCACTGCCCAGCCTATTGCACGACATTTTGAACATTTGACTTGCACCATGTGAAACCAGATCCCGAGATGCATGTTTGGACCTGTAAAAAGCCTTTATAGACCTCAGTGACTTCAATTCCACCCCTGTCCCAGCACCTGGGAAATCATGTTGAAAAGGTTTTGCATAAAACCATAAGGAAAGTTATATCACATGTTTTCATTTGCTTGTTTAGATATGAACTACTTTACAAATTAGGTTAGCTTCTGGAATATTAGGAAGTTTGCTTTGTTTGTCTGCGGTATTTGTTATCAGTGACAAACTGTGGGCTCAAACTGCTAGTGACAAGAATATGGAATTTCCTGAAACTATCTGGTGACCTTTCATTTATTGCTTTATATTCTACTTCCCTTAAATGCTGCCAGTTTATCCTGTGATTTCTAGCTCTCATGATATTTCTTTGACTCATAGGCAGTTCTGTTTTAGCCTTTGAAAAGGTTATTTCTGTAAATAAAGAATAATTTTGGTGTCCTGGGTTGTTTTCTACTGGTTTAGTTTGTGGTGTAGTGGTTAAGAGCACAGGACCAAGACTCAGGCAATCTTTAGTCCTCATTCAGTCACGAAGCCAGCTGGGTGACTTTGAGCCAGCCACAGATTTTCAGCCCAACCTACCTCACAGGTTCTTGTTCTGGAGATAAGATTGAGAGCAGCAGAAGGAGAATGATGTAAGCCACTTTGAGTTCTTGCTAAAATTAAATAAGTAATGTATTTATGAACAACTATGTCCAAACAGTTCTGCTGCCGGTGCATTTGATAAACCATTTCTCTTGTCTAGATACAAGAGTATATATTAAGGTATTTTCAGAAAGTGACTACATGTTGCAAATGACTTAGAACCTCCAGTGAAAATGACAAGTTTTTGTATTGGTCTCCACTTCAGCATATAGGGATACTCAAAACATGATTCTGAAACCCATAATACTTTTATTTTATAAGATCACAAAAATGTGCAAGCTTTCAAGATCTCCAAATCAGACAAAGCACTATAGAAAGGAGGTTAGAGTAGGGAGATAGTGAAAAAGTGACCGTGCTGAAGGTCCATTGTCTATATATCTCAAGTAGGAATGTTGGAGAAATTTACAGACAATTCAAGTAAGTCCAGATTTAAATGATTCTGACCTATGGATTCTTCAGCAAAACATCTTTTTCCCAAGTTATATAATTCTGTGAACTTGTGGATTGTATTTTTTTACTTTTCAGAATTTTACACCGGTTTAATTGTCAAAACAATTTTCCCCATGGGCTAAAGCATGAAAATATGTGTTAGGAGTTGCACATATTTGGAGTGATTTGCATATTGTTGGAAACACAAATTTACACAACAGGTACTTTGTGCAAGTGTAAATGAAAACGAGTTTGGTAAATGGGAAAAAAATCCATCAATGAGCAGAATTCATAACAATTCACAAAGAAGAGATGGAATGGATTTAGTGAGCCCAAGTTCAGAGGCCCAAGATGGAAAGAAGTAGCAGATAGGCAAATAATTGCTTTGGATTCTGCATGTCATGTGATAGATATCAGAAGGATCTCCAGCCAGGTGCACTGCTTGGCACTGGCCTGTGAGACTTCAGCCCCTGACAGTCCAGTGGGGATGGATGCCCATATTAATTGTCCTTTCCCTGCTTAGCAATTAAGCTTAGAACAAACTTTTGTGTTCGAATGACCAGGGTCAGGATGCAAGTTAATTGAAGAATTTATTATGATTTGGGTGAGAAAGTAATTAGCTTTCTTTGCATTCCATAAAATTTAAATAAAACCTGGTGATTATTTCTAAATGTGCATAGATAGATACAAATCAGCACATGCATATCTGTGTTCTGCAGGCTTAGGCTTCAAATCTTTAGGTGCCTAGCAATGTCCCTACCTGTAGTTGTCCCTGAGAGTAAGAAAGTTAATGTACAGAGTTCATAAAGAAGACATGGAGCTTACTGTTCAGTACCTAGTTCTCCCCTTTGTAACTGCACCACAGCTAGGGAGTGCAACTACATTTTTTCCTGAGACTAATGGCTAGTTCACACAGGCCTCTGTGTCACTTTCTCTACACCTGATGGTGTGACTCTTGCAAAGCACTGTGTATGCGAGACAATATGAAAGCTCTTTCTATGGTGTTAGAGCCATGATGTTGACTCATTCATGCATGCAAGTCAATATTTAGCAGATTTATCAGGTGATGAGCATGCAAATTCATCAAAGAGAGCACCTGGTTAATAAATGATATAATCCTTTATCCAAACCTTTTACAGTTCTTTGCAAAATTCTCTTTTCCCAAGTGCCTCCTAGATGCAGACTAGGGATCTCAGTCTGTATCATCAATCTTCTGTGCCCTTCTGTTGAGATGCACATTTAGGAAATGATCTTAAAGTAAGCATTTTCCTCTCTGCCAGGATACTCCTGATCATGGTGGGGAGTTGAAATAGAAACTAAACTTATCTCTTTCTTTCTCTTTGTCCCTTTTTTCTTCTTGAAAAACTTTAGAAAAGTTCATGTGAACCCTGCATTTTTATTTGATGATTTTTATGGCATTTGTGAATGTGTATTATTCTGTAAAAGAAAATAGAAATCCCAAAAACAAAGATAAACATATTACACATGTGTTTTCTATCAGGTAACCTTGCCTAACTTCTCTGTTGAATTCACAATGAGTTTTCTCTGATGAAAATATAATTATCCAAGGAGAAAATCTGCCTGAAGTGCAGCCTCCCATATGTTAGTTCTTATGTTTCAGTTCTTGTAACTTTATTACATTTTAAACATAATATTTGGTAAGCTGAAAAATGTGATCATTTAGGAGTCTTGCAGATGCATTTACTAAGGCATCAGGAAGTGTGTGATGAGGAGCAGTGTGGGAACTGCTGCTTCCCTGGCTTCAGACCGGTTAGTTAACTGTCAGTGTGGTTGCACCTTTTCATTGGAAAGGTCACATTTGCATTTTTGTTTCTAATCACCACACTCTATTTTCAGCCTATACCTTCAAAATGTAAAGTAAAATAATGAATTGAGTTCTCCAGTAGTGAGACGTAGAGTCAAAATACGCACCACACTGTTCAGGATCTTCCCTTTCTGGTAGTTCATCATTTCCTGGCCTCTAATGAACATCTAAGTTTCTGTGGATGAGATCCATTGGCCACCTGAAGACATTGATCAGAATGAGCAGGAAGTAGAGTGGATTTCAAAGGGACAGCGGCACATTCTGGTCATGCTCAACAGGGGCATGCATGGCTTGTGGCTCTCAAGGTGGATGCATGCTGTTGTTCCCTTCAAAAGAAGCACCCGAACAGACTGGTAGAGTCCAATGCGCACCATGCTATACATGTAGATGACACACATGCAAGTATGCAAGTGTGGAACTCTGCTTGTGCATGAGGATTTTCCATCTTGCATGCAGAGCACAATTTATATAGGGCAAACAACATAAGAAGATGTAAGTACTGCTTATTCTCAGTCTCTTTATACTTTTGTTGTACAGGTTTTGCTAGCAATAGATTATTTAACAATAGCAACATCTTTCATAATTTTATCAGTGTGTACTTTATCGCTGTTGTGGGCATCTTTTTATGGAAAGGCAGCTGTGCAAAGCCTCTTGCCCAGGGTCCAAATCTGGAGCCTAGTGCCCCAATCCAACCCTCTTTTCCCCTGAAATTGGTCATTCCCACCAGATCACACCCTCTTTTTCCAGCTCTGCTGCCTTTTCCGAACATACTCTCTTCATGGTTTTGTGCAGTCCCCCAGTGCTTGTCCAAACTTCTCTGCTAGCAAGGTCGTTAAGGTAAAATATACTGGAGGGTTTGTATTTTTGCCCCCATCCCATTCCTTTGGCCCATCTCTTTGGTTTGGCCTTACATCCCCTGCACAATTCTCCAAAATGGAATTTGACCCTACGGCTGACGGAGGCTCTGTACCCCTGATGCACCTGAAAGGAACCCATCCCCATTTCAACATAACTTGCTTTCTTTGTTCCAGAACTGGTTTGAGGTTAAAGTGAGTCCCACTTTCATTCTGATAACTAGGAATGTTGTTTTCTATTTAAATTTCCTTTGCAGTTTAAAGTGACAAATATTACAAAAGTATCCCGCACTTTTGCTGTTAACTGTCCTTTGCATCCAATTGCCTCATCGCTGGGAAAGTCTGCTTATACATGCACATCAACAGTGTCTGTGGCACAGCACTCAAATGTTAAAAATGCTCTAGTTCCCCCACGAGACAACTTCTGACTCTTGCCTTTTATTACAAGAACATATTCTCTTCATCTGGTTTAGTTTTAAAGTGCCAGACAAGAGAACAGGAAAGTCTACGGATTTGATAGAACAGGCTTAATCAATCTATCTATTTCTGTCTATTTTTCGATTTATATCCTGCCTTTTTCCTACAAAGGGCTCAAGGCAGCTTACATCATTCTCCTCCTCCATCTTCTCCCCACAACAACCACCCTGTGAGGTAGGTTGGGCTGAGAGTCTGTGACTGGCCCAAAGTCACCCAGTTGGCTCCATGGCTGAGCGGGGACTCGAACCCAGATCGTCTGAGTCCCAGTTCCATGCTCTTAACCACTACGTCACACTAGCTCTCAATCTGGTTTGTGTTCATTTCACATGTGTTTCAAGGTGATTCCATTTCGTTTCCATTCAGATTTGTAGGGAAAAAACCACACTTTAAAGTTCTTTTAAAATTTATACCACTTTAGATATTTTTAAAATGCATTGATACTTATACCTAATCTATTCTATTTTCTTATTTCTACAGGTAGTACCCATCATAGCGTAGTCGCATGTTTTCTGAAGCCCTACCTTTGTTTATAATTCAGTACTTATTTGGAATTCTCATTGAATATTGTCTCTATTAAATATTGGCATATTTTTATTTTTAAAAGAGGAACAAACATCCCAGCAATTTTACATATAAACTGACACTGAAGCTGTGAACATTTCTTTGCTTCTACCATCTTCTTGAATAATAATAAAGGGTTGCTGTTCCATTTTACACTCCTTTTTCCAATCACAAAAATGTTCCTATTCATGGTTCCCTGCACAGGTCATGTTTTTGGAACATTGTTTCATGCCCTCAGACCAGAAATGTCTTTAGTCTCCTGGAGGGATTCCTGAGGTGCAATATTTCTGATCTTTTGCTATTTTGTGAAAGCATCTATTTATCTATTAATAAATTGTACTCCTAGCAATGAAGGGCAATGAAATACCAAAAAAAGTTGTTATAATTAAAACATGAAAACAAATCATTAAGAAAAGAAGAAAAGAACAACAGCTACCATTTGGGCAGTAGGAGTGACTAAGAATAATTCATGTAGGACAGCATTTTTCATATTGCTATGATATGGAAAAGTAGTGACTGGGCTGCAATGAAAAATGCAGTAAGTTTCCAGGGGTGGGGACAACCCCCCTCAATTTTTTTTAGACTAGGAAATGTGTTGTGTTATTAAAAGTCCACCAGTCATGATTAATATACACATCTTGAAGAGAGATTAAGGAAAGGCATAAAGTCTTTCCAACTGGACTAGTTCACAACAATACAGTAATCTTCTTTTATTAGTTCTAGTAAGCTGCCAGGATGGATGGTTTAGAAGCATTTCTCATTTTTAAAATGCTTCTGATGTCAGTGTTCACTGATGTCAGACAATAATCTTATCGCAGAATGTAGTTTCTTTCTGTTTTAAGTAATGTCTTCTTTAAGCCATATCAATGCAATTTGTATTCATAACTCATGCATGAGGATCTGTGTACATGCCACATAGTTTCATGTCTAGACAAATGATCCATGTGCCAGCATGACAGTTCCTTACTTAGGAAATGGAGGGTGAATCACAAGCTTACACCCATCACCCCATTCCTATTTTCCTTTCTCTCTCCTACTGAAATTCCTGACTCATTTCCTTCCCTGTTCTGTTGAACTGTGGTTAATTAATATTCTGCCTGCATCAAAGTTATCACTAACAATGGTGGTGAGGATTAACCAACAATTGAAAATGGAGTTTCAAGCTGGTGGAAGAAGTATGTGAACTTGCATTTCCATAGCCAAGAGAGTTTGTTTCTTACAAGAAAGACAGCACTGTAAACAAATTCAGTAATGTCAACTTTTCAACATTTATTCTGAAGTTATCAGTTAAAAGGGTGTATTGATAGTCAAGCAGCCTAACTAACTTTAATGGTTGAAGTTATCCCATAAGCTTCATTGTTGGCATCATGAAAGCAAAACTTTGGATTTTACTAGTAATATTCCAACTTGAATTGAAGGGAGGAGTTCATTGGTAAGGGAAAAGTTTGGCATCTAGAAGGTCCCATTTTAAGTCCCCAGTTCCTCTGTGCTAAAAGAAAAGGAAAACAGTCTCAATTAGCAGAGCTACAAAGAAATGCTGTGAGAGGAAGCATCACTAGTCTGAGCAGGTGTCAAGAAGACTACATAAAGATTTCTAGTAGCAGCAGGAGAAATGGCCAATGACCTCTGTGTGATCTGCCCTTTTTCTCATGCTTTCTGAAGTTGCATTCCTATGCTCCCTTTCCTTGAGGTAAGCCCTGTGGAATCTAATGGGACTCAACCGTAAATATGTGCAGAATTGCTTCTAATTTTAGCAAACGTTATTTCTCTGCATCCTGTGAGTCCCTCAGCCCTGCAGAGAAGGTTTTGAGATGCATAAAGGGCTTCAGGGAGGGAGGGGAAATCTGTTCCATCTGTGGTGCCTGTTCCACTTGGTAGGCAGGCACACTTGGATACAACCAAGTGGCCTTCACAGGGTTATAGAATAATCTGAATTTGTTCTGTTCCATGTGCTCTAACCACAGTTGGCTTTTATGCAATGAAAATGCAAAATAGCACATTGACAACAAAATTAGAGGCATATTTTATCACACTAAAGCTTCATGCCTACAAGCAGGAAGGTGGGAAGCCTATATGTCTCAACTCTACCACTCTGGGCTACAGAAGGAAGCTAACGTCACTGAATGTTTCTCTATACAAAACTCTTGCGTTCACAGACTTAGGATGCAATTCAGAAGAACTTTCTCCATGCCATGCCGTATTACTATATGCAGGGACCCACAGCCCCACCCTGCCTGAAAAGCATCCAGTCAAATGAGCTCTCCCAAGTGTGCGGTCACCTCTTCAACTGTTTGCAAGGGCCAAACTAGATGTACAAGACCCATCCATTTAAAAGCAGTCCTGCCAAAGTCACCTATGAAGTTAGAACATGGGAGACTTATACGAAGAAGCAGCGGGTGGGGTGAGGAGAATATGATTGATGGGATGTGAACCCTTTATGCTCACATGCCTTAACTTCCCATCTTTCATGCCATCAGGCTGGTTTCTGGTATCAGAGCCCATTGAGATAAAAAGACCTGTTAGGATGAGCTAAAGGGTAAGTGTTCAACATCTGCACACATTCCCTGTGTGCCCCTTTTGGCAAACCTCACCCCCTCTTTATATTTGGTGGGGCAGGATCACATGCAAACACTGAAGCATGAACTCTACATTGAATGAAAGCTGAGTGTTTCAGAAATGTTTGGGCAATTTACCAATTATCAATAAATTATCAATGATTTACTTCCTTAAGTAAATTCTTAAGCCAACTATTTTCAAAGGAAGTATTCATGATGTTGTTTCTTGCTGGAAAATCCTTGTAAGGTCCAGCAGCCGAAAGTGTAGACTAGCTAGTTGAGTCACATTGCCTGGAATGCACCATGAGAAGGCTAGTCTACATAGTGTCTGATCCCGTACAATGCCCCCATGGCTTTGATCTCCCAAGGAAAAACTGGGCAGCGCTCAATCAGATTTGAACTACTCCTGGCAGATGCCAATACTGGAAACACAAATGGGAGGCTGGTCAACAACTCTAACTGTGACTGTGGGAATGTCCCACAAACTTTTCACCACATGGCAATGAAATGCCCCCTTAGAAAGCTTCCTGGTTCCCTGCAAGAACTACATCATCTTGAAGCTACTGCTGTCCAATGGCTAAACGACCTCGACTTACAACCATAGGCCTTGCCACTCTAGTAGCTGCTCATACATAGCTTAATTTTATTCATAATTTGTATTTCATGTTTCTAAAATAATTTACAGTCCCAATGTTTTACATTTTATATATTGTTTTAGTGCATATTTATGCAATAATGTTGCATTCTGCTATGCCATATGAAATAAATAAAGATCAAAGGAAGTATACCAGTGCATATAGTGGGGGACGGTATATACAGGAAATGCCTTGCTCAGAATCCCAGTGTTTATAAGTCGCAAAGGAAAAGAACCTTCACACTGGTCACTGTGCTCCAGAGATCTATACTATATCATATGCTCCTGAAGCAACTCTGAACTTTCAGTAATTATTTATGTATTTGTTTAATTTCTATACTGCCTCGTAGTTGAAGCTGTCTGGGCAGTTTACAACCATTACGTTAGGATGTAACCAGTGTTAGCCCTACTTAGAGGAGGCTCATTGAAGTAAATGGCATTTAGCATTGGCTAAAACTTGCTGTAATGAAACTTTAAATTTGCTTTAAACCCAGTTTAATGATTGAATTCTTTAGACAGTCTCAAAATGAGACAAGTCTGGCTCAAGACATTTTGCTGCCTAAGGTGGGACTACAAATGGCATTTCCCCAAACAATTCTAGCCACATCTACTAGCCAAGTTATTCTGACACAGGAGACAAAAAAGCCCACAAGCATTTCTCTCCGTCCCTGGTGATTAAAATGCAATAACAGCAAATTAAATAACAGCATGACTTCCAAAATCTGCTGTCCCGGCCAGATGTCTGACTAATGGTAAGGTCAGCTCTGAGGTCAAGCTATTCACAGCTTGTTCAGAGCTAGAAGCATAATCAATCAGCAAGTGTCCTTCTCACAAGCCACCCATTAGATTCAAATGGAACACTTGCTTTCCCTTAAGTGCAATCCTGGTTCCACTTACCTGAGAACAAGCCCCATGGACTTATTGGGATGCACTTCTGAGTACACATTTATAGAAACAGTGGTGTTCGTTTTTACATGCTATAATTGTGTGCTTACTTTTCACTATTAAAAATTGCTCGTTTGTTCTTACCCAGCTGCAGTGAAGTTTTCCTGCTTGGTTGTCTATCCCTATACCTGGTTTTTATGAAAATCTGGTTGTATTTGCTTGAATTGACCCAGAGTTAGATGCAGCATCTGTCTTAATGGAAAAAAATGAGAAGGAGCCATTGCTCTGTAGTCCTTTTCTTGCACTTGATACAAAGATAATTTCACTTATTGAGCTTATATTATGTTCATTTGCCATGGTTTTGTAAGTCTATTTTTCTGAATTAATATTTTTGAATGATGTTGAAAAGAACATTGGGTGGAAACTGACCCTGGAGCACTACTAATCCTATCCTGTAGAATGAACATGACATAACTGCACACATTGCAATGTAGAAAGATCATAATTTTGCTTGTCCTTTTTCCTACAGACTTCAACTGCTACAGTGAATGTGGTTGTAACAGATGTAAATGATAATGGACCCATCTTTGATCCTTTTCTTCCCAAAAATCTTACAGTACAAGAAGAGGAAGCCAATGCATTTGTTGGTCAAGTGAGGGTAAGTTACAGTATGTCTATTAATGAGGTTGAGCGTAAGGACTTGAAGGATTCGGTAAGGATTCATTCATATGCATATTTAAGCAGAAAAACACCTCCCTGCTAATGCTGCAGCCAGCACGGACATGCACAGGATTGCACTTTTAATGAATGAGAAGCTGTCACATCACGCAATGGATTGTGCTGGTGGTCATTTAGGGTATCTGATTGTATTAACAGAAAATACATTTCCCACAGAAATTCAATTTAAGCTTAGTTTGTGAATGAGCTTGCAAATGATCCCTTCCTCCCAATCCACTCTGAAGCAAATCCATAGATAAACTGGATGAAATTTTGCCGGTAAAGAACTGTTCCACTTGAATGGATGGGTACGATGGATGTGCCATGATATAGGTTAGGGTGGGGGGATGCTGCACTTGGGCAGGATCAGCTTAACCAGTGGGTAACGTGAGATGATCTCCTGAGCTGGCAGACCCTGGAGAGTGATGGTGGCTTCCTGGATGCTCTTCCTGAGCTGCCAGCCATTCCCCTGCATCAGGGGAAAGAACTATGTATGCCACGGAGCCTCCCGACTCTGCTAATTCCCCCTTTCCCTATCACGCTTGTTCTCCTGCCCTCATAATGGTGAAGCACATTTACTTCTGAGTAAGCTCCACTGTATAAACATACAGAGAGGGTTTTTGTTTTGTTTTGTTTTGTTTTGTTTTGTTTTGTTTTGTTTTGTTTTGTAAAAATGTAAAAGTGAAAATAACATCTGAATTGGGTCTCTTTGGTCCTCTCTGTGGAAAGACACCTTAAGTGTCTCCACATCTTGATATGCAAATCCCATTTTGGATGCAATTAAAGATGTGTGAAAACAACAAAAAGAAGAATGGGACTGTAAACTTGAGTATATGTTCTGAAACTGGTATAAAATTATGGTTGATGTTTTTTGGATATAGTCGTGTCATTTGGGGGAAGCAAGAAGTATCTTTAAAATACAGCTTGTGTTCTGCCTATCTACTGTCAAATAGAAAAATGCAACTTGTTCCAAAGTTTAGGGAATGGAACACAATGTGTCACTGCTCCAGCACATCTGTATCTTGTGTGCCACTGTAAATTCTAGGTCCTGTAAAATGCTGCCTCCACCAAAGTCAGAGGTGTCATCCAGAAGTAAATTTGAAATAACAAGCAAAGTGTTTGCAAAACTTTTTCTTAGCTGAAGGATAAAAAATGTTTTAGTGAATTTCTTTCCCTGCCAATTTAGTTGAGCCACACGTGGCTCCATGCAAAGAGAAAAAAAAGTCACAATGCACTCCTAACAATGTCTTAATTTTGAAACGTTGGTTACAATTTGAGTCAAAATGTACCAATTGCCCTGCAGCTGCAATTTGCAAGGAGCAGGCAGTACAAAATGGTAACCTGGAAAGGTTTAATACTATCAAAAGGGACTGAAGTTAAAATTCTTAAGTCCTGCTGAAGCATTACTTTAGGTAGCAATGATTACATGGTGAGTTGGGCTCATATTCATTGGTCGCACACCACACTGCTGCAGTGTCCTTGTGCTTTGAGGTTTGCATATGTAAATTCTATAGAGAGAGAACATTTGGGCACATAGAGTGCAGTGTTGAATTACTCGTTAATTGCTTCACAATTAGATTTCATTACCTTAATTATTAGTTCTACCAAAGAAAATTTATGGAAAAAATGAAAAACAGACACTAATTAACATCCTTACACAACAGAAACTGTGTAATAAAGGAGAAATATATCATTCATTCTCCCAGTTGTGCTGGACAGGGAGCAATAAAGGCAACCTGCAAAGAGGACATTTTTAATTAAAAGTGCAGGTGCCCTAAAAGCTTCAACACAGTGTGGCAGTACAGACTGAACAGGTATGACAAACAGATCATGGAGAATGACAGAAGATGCTAGAATGTTACTATTTGGTAATGACATGACAGAGATTTCTATAAAAAGTTACCAAACAAAAACTGGCCATCCCAGTAAGAAGCAACCTTTATATAAGTAAATTAAGAACATTTTTCTACTCCCAAATCAAAATCACTTGCATACGTATGTACTGAGATGTGTATTCAATGCACTTGTATCACTTGTTACTTATCCTAAATAATGGTCCAAAATGGTCATTAAATATATTGCTGGCAGAATATGATATGACACTTTCCCACCCAAATGTAGATATTCTTGTTCAAGTTTATTTTTCAGTAGGGAAGTTGGAGAGTGTCAGCCTAGCTATTTAGTTTCTTGGAAACCCCAAGCTGCTTCAGTATACTTCATTTCATATTAGGAACTGGTAGAAAGTGTTAACAGCCTTTGAAGTAAAAGAGCTCACAGCTGGAATCCTTGTAAGCAGTGGTACAGGAAAAGCTCCTGCTGGGATGGAAGAATGCAAAGAAGATAAAAAGGACAAAAACTAGAAAGGACAAATCTCAAAGTGTTGTGGATGCATTTTAAATACTTTTAACTCCACACTCTGCAACTTGGAATTGTACCAGATTCCCTACTGTTCTTTTAATTTTATCATTGGGATCCCCCAAAGTCAATTTTGAATGCATTTTTTAGTTCTTTGTAGAGGGCTACTATGAAGTAGAAAGATTTGAGAGTTCAAATGTGTGAAACTGACAGTGAAGTTCAGACATATCAAACCACTTTTCCTATAGCTATTGACTTCTCTTGTGTAGAACGTTAACATATTTTGATCCACAGATTATATCTGAAAAGTCTTGCAAGATTACATGTGATATATACAACTAGCACATTTTCAGGAAGCATCAGTAGGGCTCACACAATTCCCCTGATCCTAGGCAGCCTTGTATTGTTGGTAGGAAAGAAGTCATACAAAAGCACAAGTTAAACTAGTTACAGAATGGTGTAGCTTTTGGAAATGTCATTACTACAAATCTGTAACTTCAGCTGCAGTTCCACTCAACGGACCACTTTCTGCCAAATCACTGCAAGGCCCTGGCCCAAAGCTATTCATTGTCAATGCCAGCTGAATGGCGTGCAAGGAGGAGTTTATGGAGAAGCAAGGGCAGCTGTCAGACCTGATGAGATCTCTTCTGAAAAGCAGGTGGAGCAGGATTCTGAGGTGGATCCCAGTGAACCTGGGGACCCTGGGGACTCAATACCCAAAGTGACAAAAGCTCAGGTCAGCTGACTAGCCACTGAAGCCTTCCCACTTGATGGGCTTATTCACTAGGCAACTTGCTCTTGATCTTGATCTTGAGCAGAGGGTAGCAAGGGGAAGGCCAGCAGAGCTCTGTGTAAATTATCTGCTCCAGTCTGCACAGTGCTAAAGCAATTGTGCAATGTGGCAGCTTCTTAGCCTGGTAGCTCCTGATGCTTGCTCCATGCTTGGCTTGAATCAGGACCACAGCATGGGTTGCTTCAGTATACTGAAGCTTCAGCAAGCAAGCATGCAGGTGATGAGTGGCCAGGTGTGCAGCGTGTAACCTCTGCAGAGGGGGAAGGTGCAGGAATGCTGAGCATGAACAGCAAAAGTGCCTAGGACAGAGAATGTCGTAACTTGATATGCTCACCCAGGGCAACCCTCCAGAGCAGAATTTTGAGGACACACAGCCAGGAAAGCAAACTCTTGCTCCCCATTCCACTGGTGGAAGCTATTCTGTTGGTGGGAGGCGTTTATTGCATGCTGGCCCTAATTACAACTCTTCCTTATAATTTCCCTTCAGAAGTTTTTCAATGTCTCGGGTCTTCTTCCTGCTCATTCCCTGTTAGAGCTCTGTCAGTCTGGTTTTTATTTTCCCATTGCAAGCATTAAGGGCACACATGGAGGACCCAAAGCCCAGTGGAAGCTATTGACAAAAGACCTGGAGTGCCTTCAACAGTTGTAGCCTTCTTGTTCATCTGCTGCTCACTCTGGTGGTCATGAGAAGGGAGACCAGTAGTTGCCATTTCCTATTTGCTCACTATCTCCCCTCCTGTCAAGAAAGCAAGTGTTAGCAATGATAGAAAAGAAGAGGAAAAGCAAAAGCAAATGGTAATGATAGGAAGATAGAAAGAGAAAGGGGAGGGAAGGGAGAATGTGTTGATGCCATGCTCAAGAGCCTTCATATACCTAATGCAGACTCTGTTCAACTATGTCTTTACTTGGCTTTTTAAATCTTCTCTTACTTGGTAGATCTGTAATCAATTTTCTATTCTGTTACTTTATCTTCAGCTTGCAATATCACCTATAATTCTACATTCTTATTTGTTTCCTAAGCTTTCTGTGTTTTCATGGAAACTTCCTTTCTTGGTTTCACTCTTGTATATCTGAATATTTTTTATCAATTTCTGCCCATAGTAATTCTTCTGGTGGCGGAGTAGTAGTGGAAGAGGAGACAAAGGCAGAGGGAAAGGGGTGGCAGGCTTGGACCAGCCCACCAACAGTTTCTTTCAAGAGGCCGTGTGTTCCTGAGAGCCTGAACAGAAGGGGGCATGTCCTGAGAGCTGCAGCTGAAAGGGAGTGGCCCAATTGCCAGCAGCTGTTGTGTGGGTGGGGCGATGCATTCTGGTTCCTCACTCCTAGTTGAACAGACCAGAAGAAGCTGTCCTAGCTGGTCTAGCAACCCTGGGATACAAGCAGCCAAACTCCCAGGGAGTGAGTGACCAGAGCGAGTGAACAGGAGAGGTCAGGGGGAAGGTCCCTAACTTTTTTCTTCTCTTCCCACCCCCTTAATTTATGGCATTTGTATGCTGTCCAATTACTAACGTCTCTGGATGGCTAACAGCATAAATAAATTGATGACCCTTAATGGATGGGGAGGCATTTATGGGAGAATGCAAACCTCTGCCATTTAGGGATTTATATGCCAAGACGAGCACTTCAAATTGAACCTGGGCTTCAACTGGTAACCAGTGTAACTTGCATAAAACCAGTATTATGTGGGTCCACAAACTAATGGCTGCTACTAAGTGCATGACCCGATTTTGGACCAGTTGAATTCACTGGACCATCTTCAAAGGCAGCCCCACATAAAGTGCATTACATTAATC